TACTCTTCTCTCCTTCATGCTGTCTCCCCACCGCCCTCCCACACTCTTCCCTCCTCCAGAATTCCCCTTCCCCATGGTCGCACTTGGAAATGGGAAGATCACGGTATGGGGAATGGGGGAAGAGCGGGGTAGAAATGAGGGTGGTGAGTAAGATAGGAGGTTACGGTGTGTTTGAGGAAGAAGTGTGAGTGTGTTTGAGAGAAGTACATTTAAAGTTTAAACATGTTTTTGAGATAGCTTAAACATAGCCTAATAAGTAGGGGTCAGTTTGCTCAGTTAGCAAGATGACTAAATGGTGATGGAGAATAAGACTCCTGGTTCAAATCTCCCCTATCAGCTGTGATAGGTCATGGAGCCACTGTTTCCCCACCTTACCTTTTGCCTGTGGAGTAATACCCCTCACAATATACATTTTAAAAAAAAATTGTCTCTTGCTCTGATGGAGAGAGATACCCATGGTCCTTTATGGACTGTAGTTAGTCATCTTACTTTTGGACCCATATATTTAGGAATGAATGCAGGTGAAAGCTGGTCTTTTAATCTGTCCACTCTGTAAATGGCCTGTTATCGTTCCCTTCCCTGGTCTGGCGAAGTTCTTGGCAGACCAGCCTTGAGACAATTACAAGCTCAGAGACTGAAAAATCATGTTCCTTAGCAGCCTAGAGAAAGAGGTGGGAACAAAAGCTGGGTGGGTTTTGACTCACCGTTCCTGCTTCACAAGGTAAAATTGCCACATCAACTCCAGCAGTTAAATTATGAAAGGAGCTTACAGTAACTAGGCTTATATTGCCTGGAGTTTGGAAAGTTGAGCATGATTTTAACATGGTTTCAAGACATTAAGACGAACTGATAGGGCGGATAGAGAGAAGCCAGTTCCTCTAGATTGGAGCTGAGGTCTAGACTTCAAAGTTAGCGCCAGAACTTTCAGATCAAAATTAGGAAACGTTTACATGCAAAGAGTGGAAAGAATTTGCACTCTATTTTTCCCTCACAACTCCTGACTCCAGGTCAGTTCTTAATGTTAAATCTGAGATTGATACATTTTTCTTGAAATATATTCAAAGATATGGGACAAATGTGGGTGCATGCAGTTAGGTTCAGATGTCTAACAGTTCTAAGGGGATAGATAAATTCCAATGTTTCCATTTTTCCTTCCCCCTTGCATTCATATGATCTCCTGCCTCTGCAATCTCCCTTCCCCACACCCTGCCCAGCCTGCAACCTATACCCTTGCTCTTCTGGTTTGACACCCTGATCTTCAAGCCAACACTCCATCATCTCCAGAAGTAGATAACTTTGCCATCTCAGTATGGGTACTAAATATCCAAATTCCCAACAAGGCAAAGTGTGAGTAATGTTGTAACTCAGTCAGGCATCGTAGACCCAGTCTGAGCTTTAACCCTGATCAAAACAAAATTTTCATAAATCAGTCAGCTCCAAGTTTACTAACCGTTGTGTAATTCTGCAAGATTATTTGGGGAATGTCTGCCTGTTCTGACCTGATACGCACTTGTAGGACATTCCATCTTGTGAATAACTAGTATCCAAACATGCCTGGACAGTTCGTTCTTTGAGCCAGACATCTCCAACCCCATCTTAAAACATTTACTTGGCTGTGTACAGACCTGACAAATATCTTTTGATAATGATAAAGACACATTGAAGCTTCAAGTCATTGAAATATGCTCCAACTGTTGCACGAGATTGTTTTGCACTGAATATCTTGTATCTGGTTTTATCATTTTCCTCGAAAAACACACAATTGTTAGTGGACTTTTAACCCCCTTGATCTGGCTTGTAACATGGAAACAAAGAATGCTCATTCCACGTACAATTTATTTTCCAGCCTGTGATATGTATCGTCTATTGTGGTGCTCAATGATATGACTTCAGTTTGCTTAAATGCCTCTTTTTGTTACTTTTGTTTTTGTTTAAAGGTAAAGGGTGTAGAAATGGGGCATCCTTTATCTCAGGAACTCAGCCCTACTTTCTGAAATATTACAATAACCTTTCAATTCTTATGCTAGGTAGAATGGACTAAAGGATAGTTTTCTGTTCTGTGCTTTCTGATGCCTGGACAAGACAATTAAACAAAAACAATTTACATTCATTTATCCCATTTATACAAATGCAGTTAAAACAAAACCTGTCAGTAGAAAAATAAACAGATAGACTATAATTGCCTGCATGACTGTCTCGGGTTGGTGCTTTTTATTGATTTGGACACTGTTAGAAGGTTATTTCATATCCACTTGTTCTTTCATGGACATGCAATGATTGGAGTACCTGGCAAGTTGATGAGAATGGGGAGATAAATCTCCAGTTTTGTCAATTCCTGTAAAGTTAATGTTTTATTGAAAATGTAATTCTCACCAACGAATCCAGAGAGGACTAATACTCACATGGAAAAACATCGATTAATTTCAGGAGGGTCAACATGGATCTGTTAAGCAAAAATCATGTCTTGCTAAGTTGCTAGAGGTTTCTGAAGAGACGTATGATGAGTGTAATGCTGTTGATGTGGTATACTTGGATGTCTGAAGCATGCTTAATACAGTGTTACATGACACCTTGTGAAAAAAAGTGATGGGCCATGGAATAAAAGGTACAGGAGCAACATGGCTATAAAATGGCTGAGTGAAAGGGATCAGACGGTAATGGTGAATGGGTCATTTTTGGGCTTGAGAAGGCTTCTCATGGTGTTCCTCGGGGGTCAGTATTGGGATCCTTCCTTTTCCTGATAAATAATCTAGATCTTGGTGTGCAGGGGACAACTTCAAAGTTTGGGGCGATACAAAACTTAGAAGAATTGGAAACTGTGAGGAAGACAATGCAGAAGGTTAAAAAGACATTGAGAAGTTGGTGGAGTGCAGATTAGGTTCCACGTGAAGAATGGGAATGATACAGTTTGATTTAAGGACAAGACATTAAAATATAAAGGTACTATTCCAAAGAGTGTACAGAGGCAGAAAGACCTTGTAGGGTTTCTGGTTTGTGATCAATAAAACTGCTGATTTTCCGGTGGTTTGTATCACTCTGAGATCCCCGGTTCTGACACTGGCCTTATTTAGGGAATGTGAAATGAAGAAAGCAGTAGACAGGTGTTTCAGAGGCAAAAGAATCTCTGCATTAATTAAACACAGTGGTTTAAATGTATTTTGATTAAGAGGAATATCCAGTTATTTCTGCGAATGAATATTAATTGAAGTTGGACGTATTGGTATCTGTAAAGACTCCATAATGTCTGAGTTGAATTGATTCCTTAGGTCTGGTTAATTATGCTTTTAGAGTTGAGGTATGAATTGGATTTTCGGGCTGAACCATGGTTCCAGGCAGCTGTCCCTGTGACTGTGTTTTTTCCTAGAGTATAGTCCAGCTGCTGTTTTTGAAATTTTAAAAGTTATTTGCAAAGTTCAGGATTTTGGTCCAGTATTTCAGAATATTGGGTTTTTGCTCAATCCTACAATCTCTACGTATATGTTCATAAGTCATTAAAGGTGGCTAGGCAGGTAGAATGGAATGGACAATGTGGTGGAAACAGGCCCAATTGAGGCATGTACAACAGCATTACATTTAAATGGAAACAATGAGCAGGTTTTGGGTAAAGTTATGAGATTAAAACTAAATCAAAATGCTCAGACAACAAGTGCAGATATAATAGGTTGAATGGCCTTTGTCTGCTCTATCATGATTCTGTGATCTTCCTGTGATCCCTGAAATCAATATGCACTTTCCTCAAATTCTCCTCTCAGGTGCCAGCATAACAACATTTGATGAAATTTTGGGTGCAAGTTAATGAAACCTATCAGTCAATTACCCAAATTGATATTCTTTATACATGAGTCTCATGTTAGGTTTTATCAGGCTATTTGTCCATTTTGATGCTCACCTAGAGGTGGCCCTTGAACACAACCAGTATTCTACACTTTCAAGTGCGAACGATACTGGCTCAGAGAGAGAATACCAGTTAGTTCTTTCCAAGTCCACCTTCTGGCGCATGAGGGCCATTTTAATACCATTTTAATGCATTTTAATGTCTACTTTAAGGGGCACATTTGGTGTAAGGGCTTGTCAATGGTTATGGGCGGCATGGTGGCTCAGTGGTTAGCACTGCTGCCTCACAGCGCCAGGGACCTGGGTTCAATTCCACCCTTGGGTGACTGTCTGTGTGGAGTTTGCACATTTTCCCTGTGTCTGCGTGGGTTTCCTCCAGGTGCTTCAGTTTCCTCCCACAGTCTAAAAATGTGCAGGTTAGGGTGGATTGGCCATGCTAAATTGCCCATAGTGTTCAGGGGTCTGTAGATTAGGTGGGTTATAGGGGGATGGGTCTGGGTGGGGTGCTCCAAGGGTCAGTGTGGACTTGTTGGGCTGAAGGACCTGTTTCCACACTGTAGGGATTGTATGATTCTATGAACAAGACTTGCCACTCTAGATGAATCAAGGTAGTCAGATCAGGAATGCAGTTAAATCCCTACTCAAGCACAATTAAATATCATTTAAATAGGAAGTGTCATACTGTCCAACTCTAAACTTCCCATGGAGAGGACATTAAATTCCCATTTCTCCTTTTGTGCTCAAAAAAAGCTCTTCCTCATTCTAATGCACCCAAAAACTGGTGTGATCAATTTAAAATCTGCTGCATTTTACACTTGCCTCTAGTGAGCACCCAGTGTCCCTTTTACAAAAGAAACTACTGGAAACGACTGATAACTTCCAAATAAAAAAATAAATACAAATAAAAAAAAGGAAAGCAAAGAAGTAATACTTTTTGTGTTTGGCCCTTGAACTGTGGGATGATCATCTTACGTTTTAATCTGCAACAAACAAATGGATAAAGTAAGTACATTCTTTCCAAAAGTATTGGATTGTTACCCTCATCAGTTATCAAGCTGGCAGTGAAATTATTTCAGCTATTAACATGTTGTGGTTTCAAAGTCTTTAAAATACTGGTTGTGAAAACTGTGAGTCATTTCTTGAAGTGATCAAAGCATATAAAAGCAATCAACAGACAGGGATTCAGTGAGGCAGAAATAGAGGCATCATCCACAACTGATTAAAATCAGCGTTCCCAGTCAGCCAAGATGAATTCATTTCTTCTGGCTCTTGCCGTGTTGCAGACACTACGATTCTCTGTTGGTATGTGCTGAAGTCCTTTTAAAAGGTTAAAATTTAATTATTTTTAATTTAGATACTATTGAGGCCCATTTTGATTGCATTCTTTTTCAGGGAAAGTACAAGCTGTTTAGTAAAACTAAGTACAAAGTATTGTTGTCACCACACTTTTCCCTCATTTTATTTTCCAGGGATACCGATGACTGATTTCACGCCAATTGTTCAAGATGCCCTGAAAGAATCCATTCTTCAATTGAACAGACACACAGTTAATGACTACCTCCTCAAAGCGACAAGCAATGAGCTCCATTATGTAAGCGTCATTTAATCTTACTTGATCGAATTTATGCCTCATAGCTTTTTGTTGCGTTGTTCAGTTTACTCCGTTGCTACCTTTTCTCTCCTGTTTGCTCTATTCTGTCTTTATTTTTGCTTCTGTCATTTTCTTTGTCTCTAGTACTTTCTTTCCTACATCCTGTTCTTTCTCTCTCTGGCTCTCTTTATTTTCTCCGAAGGTTTTGTCAATGTCTCTTTGTTAACTGTCCATTGTCTAGTCCTACTTTTAAAATAAAACCTGCAATTATTATCCCACTCTCTCTGTACAATTTTCTTCCTCTATTTTTCTATTTCTCCCTGACTTTCTTCTATATTTTACTTTTGTCTCTGTTCTCTTTCTTTGCCTTTAGGGATGCTTTTTGAGGTAAATGAACAGTTCATTTCCATAAAAATAGCATTGGGTCAGCACTTCTACAGCTAACTTGGAAGGTGTGGCTTCAAGTCCCACACTAGACATAAAAAATTCAGGTTTACTCTCCAATGTAGTGTGGAAGGAGCTCGTTTTAAGTGTCTTTTTCAGACCAGATAATAAACAACATTCTCATCTGCCCTCTAAGGTGTACAATTGATAACCCATGGCTCTGTCTCGAAGTGATGTGGGAGAATTCTATTCAGTACCTGGGTCTAATGATTATGCTCAAACCAATATCACCCAAAAGAAAATTACACCCGCATTTGGTCATTTCTGTTTGTGGATCTCGCAGGGTCCAAATTGATGGCTTGTTTCCTGCCTTACCACAGGGACTACACTTCAAAGCGACTTCATTGGTTATTAGGGACACTGAGGTGTTCCATGGTTACAAAAGTCATTGTAAAGATTAAGTCTTTCTTTCATTGGGTGATTCACTGCTCTCTGTCACAGAGGCTGTCTCTTAGATGCAGTCACCTTGGCCAGGACTTGCAGGTGGAGTTGCTTCTGTCTCCCGAAAATGAGTCACATTTGATTCAAAATGTTAACTTTGCCTCCATTTTTGCAGATGGCACCAGACCTGCTGAATATTTCTGTTTTTATTCCAGTTGGTATGCTTGCCCGATTGAGGCAGGAGATCACACTTAACATATGTTTTGGGCTCCATGACGTAGGTCATTCTTCAATCCTAATGTTTGTAAAAGGAAAGGGTAAAGAATGTGGCTTTTGCAGTCCACCCATTTGTACCAAACACTGAGCTGCTGAATGCTTGCAGGCTGCTCGTAAGAAATTCTTTGAAACCTTTCTCCCTGGTAAAATGTGAGAATCCTTCCACTCATCCCATAAGCATTATCCGCTCAGCCACTGGCTTGTGCAAGACCTTCTCTTGGTTCTCCAGGAAAGAGTCAACCAATTTCCTCTGTGCCCCAATCCTAATTGGAGATACACTGGAAAGCTTCTTTTGTGTGCAACTTTTGGGATCATGGCAAATGTCACTGGCTCTCAAACTGCTGCTTGCCTTATGTCAGTTAATGTCAAACTCTATCCACTAATCCCTCCAAGTCTGACATATTCTTATGCACCAGCACCCCTTCATTATTTTAATATTTCCTCTTTTGGTCACTTTCCCTTCCTCACTGCGTTCATCATTAAGTTATATTTAAATAATTCATCTCTCTAATTTGGAGCTGACCTTCAGCTGTCTGAGCCCCAAGCTCTGAAATTACATCCCTCATACCCTTCCCCTTCTTTTACCTCATTTTCCTCCTTAAAACCTAGTTCATTGGCCAAATATTAGGTCATCTTCCCTGATATTGCCTGTGGCTTGGCCTAATTTTATCTGGCAGTATTCCTGCAGATTGTGTTGGTAACTTTGGTTGAAGTAAAGGTGCTATATAAATGCATGTAGATATTATAAATATCTATATGGTTGATGTTAACAGTTACAGAAGAAACTGCCTCAAACATCAAGGATTAGTTAAACAATAGTCTGTGTTCTCTAAGTCTATATACAGTCTGTGGCAACTATCAGGTTATGTACATGTATCTGAGCTCCAGGACTGCTGTGCACTGTTTACATGGATTAGGTATCACCTTCTGTCTTTTGCAGTCTGGTGATGGATACTCCCTCTTAAAGGTAGATGTACATCACGTCGCAACAGTAAAGATGAAATACATCAAGCTTCAAGTCATGTTCACCTTACGCTGTTTTCTGATGAAGGGTCTAGGCCCGAAACGTCAGCCTTCCTGCTCCTATGATGTTGCTTGGCCTGCTGTGTTCATCCAGCTCCACACCTTGTTGTCTCTGATCCACTGGCCTACATTGGTTAAGCAACACCTTGATTTTAAAACTGTAACCCTTGTTTTCAAATCCCTTCCTGTCTGTGCAGTCTTCTCTAGCCTCACAACCTGCCAGTCTTGCTTGAACATGAGACTCTTGCACATCTTCAATTTTGATAGCTCCACCATTGATGGCCATGCCTTCAAAGCCCTAAACTCTGGAATTATCTGGCAAATCTCTTAATACGCTCTTTAAAACCTGCCTCTTTGACCATTGTTTTGGCCACTGGCCTGTGTCATTTATGTGTTTTTGTGTAAGCTGCTTGGGACGTTCTGCTGTGTTAAAGGTGCTGTCTAGTTGTGAATTGTTTTTATAATCCTATAGCCCGTATTCCTGAAGCCAAAGATAACCCACTCGTGGTAATCCGTGTCAGCGTGCGAGCCTGACAAAATTAATTCTTTGTATGCCATGGAGCACTACGCTATTATAATAGCAAGAAGATTGCTCGGGAGTGACTGAGATTTCGTCATCTGTGGGTCTCATGATTTCCTTCATATTGTAATCAAGCTGGTGCTTTACTTTTTTTTAAGAATCCCTAAATTAAACCGCATATTTTGTTTCCAGTTTACTTCAACAGAACCTAATGAGATTGTGGTGGATTTAAGATTTACTGCAAGGGAAACCCTGTGCCTGAAAACAGGTGGATTTGTTAGTGAAAACTGCGATCTAAATAATGACCCCTTCGCTGTGAGTATTGATAAAAAGTGTTTAAAATTTGTTGCGATGTGTATACTATACAAAACCAGACAGAGTGGGGCGAAACCCATAGGTTCAACCTTTCTCGGTTCTCAAGTCACAGAATCTAGAAATAACAAATGCAAGGATGTCTGTTCATCCGCACTACTTCAGAGCAAACACTGTGAGTTGAGAAGAGACCAGCAATATTTTTAGAATGCGCTTAATTTGTTTTTTTTTCCCAATCAGCCTATTCAGAGATGTTATAACAAACAGGTGGCACTTGAATGCGGGTCTCCTGGCTCAGAGTTAGGGACACTACCACTGCACACACAAGCCTTGCCTTTTTCCAGATAACTTCAGTGTAGAGGCTCAGGTTCATGCATAACAAGTGACTAATTGGTTATTGGCCATGTTATGCCATTGGGTAAAGTTAAATTTATCCAATGACATTAGTTTGATGGAAAATGTGACTGAATGATGATGGAGAAAGGGAGGCTTGAGGTGCATTGGAAATGTCATGGTGTCTGGCTTCGACGTTTGGGTTTAAGTCCCACCTTCCAGAAGTGAGTCTTAACATGTCTAAACAGGTGAATTAAAAAAAATTGCAAGACCATGCTGAAAGATATTGTGCAGGCTTAGTTAGAATCTAGATTTCTTTATTTAGAAGATTCATCTTAAAAAGCAGAAAGAGACTCCCACAAAGTAAGTATGTAACATTAATTATGATTAATTTAAAATATTGTCAATGATTTAAAGATAAAAATATTAATGTGTAGCTATCAATAGAAAACAAGTTGAGTGACTTGGTGGTTAGCAATGCTGCCTCACAGCGCTAGGGTCCTGGGTTTGATTCCAGCCTCAGGTGACTGCGTGGAGTTTGCATGTTCTCCCCGTTTCTGCTGGGTGTTCTGGTTTTGTCCCAGGGTTTCTAAATTCATTAACAACAATATCAATGGAAAATGATGATTCAGAGAAAACAACATTGTTTTTAGATGATGGTAACGTTGCTAATTGCAACCAGTAATGGCACTACAGATGAAAGAGAGATACAATTAGCCAGGATTCACGTTCTCATGACTGTACAACATCCTCTTCCAACAGTGAGTTATTGTGATTGTGGAGTAAGGATAGAATTGGCTCATGGTCAAAAAGCTAGTCAACACTAGATAGATAGGCTCACAAATGAAGAGTCATCATTCATGTTGTAGTATTGTATTGTCACCTTCAAATGTTTATCTTTATGTGTACAAGTACCATTTATTCTGCTGTGTTTCCGTATTGGAATGTGTTAGAATGTGTTAGAGAATAGCATTGGTCTGTTGATTTCTGCAGCTAATCTTCTCATCTGCTTCCCTCCCTGTTTTCCTGTTATTGGCTGCTTCTCCAGCTTTAACTGTTCCTATTCCTTCCTTTTCAGTCCTTTTACTGTTTTACGTTTTTTGACGAGGAGACTGGTCTGATTGGATGGGAGAGATGCCAATTGCTGTAGGCTGTGCTTAGGGAATGCAGTGAAAATGTGACTCTTATCTCTTTCCCCAATCATTTACTCATTCCCTTCACTGCTTATTTCAATTTAACTACCCTACCTCTCGCTTCACCACTAACTTTACATCACCTCCTTGCCCTTGTCACATCCCCTAACTCTTCTTCCTTCTCTGATTTACTCCACTCCTGTGTCCTGCCCTCCTTCATTCACTGCCCACACTTGCCCTACGACCTTTGAACCACAGCCACGCTGAATGTTGCATTACTGTTTCCTACTTTTGCTCAACCCCCCAAAGTGTGAGTGATATCAGATCACTCTCTCACTGGCTCTCACTCTCAGCGTGCTTTGCTACTCCTCTCACTGTTTTAGCCTCCTCCCTTCCTATCTGTTCCTCTCAAAGTAGCATTTCTATCACTTGAAAATTCAAGAATCACATGACAATTATTTCATAAAACAGTTTAGTTTTTAATATCTGAGGAAAGAGAAAGACAGACAGCGAGGAAGGTTGAGAAACACCTTTTTGCTTAAAACCAGTGATGATAAAACCAAGAGGAAATAATTCAATGAAATCATAGTTAATCCAAACCTTAATGTATGACATCCACCTTTGATCAACATTCCCTGATGTCCTTGCCAAATAGAAATCTATTACTCTCAGTCCTGAACCTCCAACATCCAGTTTTTTTGGGGTGTTTCAGATATCAGCTATTCTTTTGTGCAATTTTTGATTTGAAAGTTTTGATAAAAGCCACTTCCAAACACCACTTGAATATTTCAAAAGCATTTATGCAATCTTTAATTGCTAGAGGAAAGCTCTTTAGGAACATTTTCCTCTTGATGCAAATAATAATGTATGTCAAGATCGTTGATGCTTCGAGAGGTTTAATATAAGACAGAATATTTTTAAAAGTGGTGACAAGTGATCGAACATTTGTGTTCAGAGTGATCTGGATGTTCCTGTACATGAAACTCAAGAAAGTTCAGATGTAGGTGCACCAAGCAATTAGGAAGACAAGGAGTAGGAGGTTGGTGTACTAGAATAAAGAAATCTTGCTACGATTGTGCAGAACTTATAGAAGTCTGTGAATTTATGAGATGCACAGATAGTGTTGACGGTTCGAATCTTTTTCCCAGAATTGAAATATCTAATGTATTTAAGGGGAGAGAGGAAAGGTTCAAAGGAGATGTGAGGGGCAAGTTTTTTACACAGAAGGTGGTAGGAGTCTGGAATGCTCTGCCAGGGGTGGTGGTGAAGGCATATACAATAGGAGCATTTAAGGGACTTTTCGATAAGCACACGAACATGCAAGAAATGGAGGGATATGGACCAAAGGCAGGTAGAAGAGATTAGTTTAATTTGGCACCATGTTCAGCACAACATCATGGGCCAAAGGGCCTGTTCTTGTGCTGTACTGTTCCATGTTCTATGTTAATTTTACTGACACCTTACCTGAATCACTGTGTTCACATTTGGTCTTCACATCTAAAGGGGGATACACTTGCTTTCTAGATAGTTGCACCCAAAGTGCACCACAGGATTCCTGGGTTAAGAGAGCTTTTCTATGATGAGAGTCAGAGTAAAATAAGCCTTTATACTCTGATTTTTAGAACAATAAGAGGCGATCTCATTGAAACTAATATTCTGCAGGAGCATGACAAGATTGAGAGTTTGTTTGTGCCGGCTGGGGAGTCTGCAACACAGTCAGAGACAGACCAAAGATAAAGGTTAACTATTTAAAATTAAGATGACGAGAATTTTGTTTACTCACTGAATATACTACGATTCTTTGGAATCCTCTATCCGAGGAGGCTGCCAATGTTCCATAAGGGACTGACAGGTTCTGTTTATGACATCTAGGGGAGTCACAGGCAATGGGGAGTGGGAAGGAAATTTGAGTTGAGGAAGAAGATCAGCCATGATTGTATTGTATGTGATCCACACTGAATCTTATTTGTTTTATTCTCATGTTCAACTGTTTTAATTCACCTCCAATTGTCAAGTTAGTTAAATAAACTGATCTTTATTTCACTGCTGCAGCAAATGACCACATGCCAAAGCAGCGTTAGTTATTCCTTTCGTGCAGTCGTTGATGTGTATCTACACTGCACGGACAGCAGCAGTGAATCAGCCTCCATCGAAAGTGTTGAAGAGGTAATCTTTTATTTTAAGCTCATTATTCTGAGTAATAGTAAATGTACCCTCCTATATCTTATAGATGGTGTAAATTTTGCAATTGAATTGGCCTCAACAACTGGTTCTTCCAGTTAACCTTTCCTCAAATATCGGATGCCATACTTATTCAATCGATCCAGGCTGGGATAGGCTTAGATTTTCCACTCCAGTTTTATCTCAACCATAAATTCTAAATGTTTTCATATATTCCAATTTACTTACTTATATATTTAACTAGAATTAACTTTTTAAATCCATTCATGGAATGTGGGCATCCCTGGCTGGGCCAACAATTATTAACTTATCCCTGATTGCCCAAAGAGCAGTTAAGTGTCAACTATATTGCTGTGAGTCTGGAGTCATGTGTAGGCCAGACCAGGTAAGGATGGCAGTTCCCTTTTCGAAAGGACATTAGTGAGCCAGATGGATTTTATTTTTTCCCTGACAATTGGCAATGGTTTCATAGTCATTGTTTGACTCCTAATTCCAGATATTTAACAAATTCAAATTCCGCCATCTTCCTGGTTGCCTCCCTAGAATTCAGTGAGACTGCCAAGGTGTGGTGGGGAAATGTCAGAGCACATCAGCAACTGATTCTTCAGCTGACACTGGGAGCATGTGGGGAGTAGGCGGTCTGATCACAACACTGGGGTGAAAAGCAGCATGATTGTGGTAGGGGATCTGATCTGCAATTGGGTAAGGTCTTCAGGACTACTGTTGGAATATTGTCAGGGTCCATAGCCTTTGTATTATCGACTGCATTCAGTGTTCCTTGATATAACATGGAGTGAATCAAATTGGCTGAAGACTGGCATCTGTGATGCTGGGCACCTCTGGAAGAAGCTGAAATGGATCATCCATTCAACACTTCTGGCTGAAAAAAGCTGCAAATGCTTCAGCCTTATTTTTTGCACTGATTGCTAGGCTCTCCCGTTATTGGGGATGGGGATATTTTTGGAGCCTCCTTCTCCAGTGAGCTGATTAGTTGTCTACCACCATTCACAACTGGATACGGCAGGACTGCAGAGCTTAGATCTGATCCGTTGTTTTTGTAATTGCATAGCCCTGAAATGAGAAAAGAAATTGCTGGAGTAACTCAGCAAGTCTGACAGCAACAGTGGAGAGAAAGCAGAATTAACTTTTTGGGTCCACTCATCATTCTTTAGAACTGATTGTAACTAGGAAGATGTTGGTATATATGCTGAAGATGGGACTGAAAAGGGGGGAGGGGGTTTGTAAAAGAGTAAGTGATAAGTGGAGATTGATTGATTGTTGTCACATGTATCGAGATACAGTGAAAAGTGTTGCTTTGTGCAATACAGACAGGTCGTACCAAATAAAGTGTGTCAGGGTAGTAGGACAGGGTGCAGAATACAGTGTTACATCTGCAGAGGAGGTACAGAGAGAGAGACATCAGAATTAATTAACATTTGAGAGGTCCATTCTGAAGTCTGAAAACACTGGGGAAAAAGTTTTTCTTGAAATTATTCATTCGTGTATTCAAAGCTTTATATCTTCTACCCAATGGAAGAGGTTGGAAGAGAATATTACGAGAGTGGGGAGGTGGTCTTTGATTATGTTGGTTGCTTTCCTGAGGCAGCGGGAAGTGTAGATGGAATCAATGGATAGAGGCTGCTTTTTGTGATGGACTGGGCTGTGTCAATGACTCTCTGTAGTTTTTTGCGGTCTTTGGAAGAGCAGTTGCCATATCATGTTGTGATGCCTCCAGATGGGATGCTTTCTATGGTGCATTTATAAAATTGGTAAGAGTCTTTCTGGACATGCCGAATTTCCTTAGCCTCCTGGGAAAGTAGAGACAGAGCCTAGATGGAGAGAGAGAGAGATAATTATGCAGACATGGATTGACTTCATTTGAGCCTTGGGAAAGATACGTGACAGCCCAGATATCACATTTCTATTGCCGATATTGTTTTGGGATTTTGCTGTGTGCTTTTGCACTATTTGTGCTGATTTATACAGAGTTTACTGTGATGTTGTCATTTTTTAAATTGTACCCAGAGCTATCACATCAAGGAGAATTAGTCACAGGAATAGAGCAATATTGGACTGTGCAGGACTTACCGAACCCATTGGCCTGTCATAATGTTTCATCAAATCTCTCAATTGCAATCATGGAAGAAGGTTCTGCCTGGACTTTAGGTAGAAGAAAGCTTTATAAATGTGTTAGAATGAAGCTTTACTGAGAGTGCTTTCAAATGCCTTAAAAATCAAAGTTTGAGACGAAGGGAAGTAATCCTTCATGAAAAATTGACACAGTCGTCATCACAAATCACTCTGAAATCAAATCAACAAAATAATTAAAGTTATCAACAATAACCTATATTTATATAGCACCATTAGTTTAATAAAACATCCCACCAAAGGCCCTTCACAGGACCATTCTAAATCAAAGCTCAGCAATGAGCCAGATAAGGAGATATTAGGATAAATGAACAACAGATTGGTAAAATAGATGCCATTCACAATATGTTTGAACGGAAAATGAGGCAGAGAGGTTTAGGGAAAAAAATTCCAAAAGTCTGAGGCCCAGACAGCCAAAGGCATTGGCCCCCCCATAGTGGAGCAATTAAAATCAGGGATGTTGAAGATGCAGAATGAATATAGGTAAATCAGTTGGGTTTGTGTTCGTAACTCAGGAGTAGTAGATCAGAGGCTGATATACTCAGAGAACTTCCATTCATCCTCATCTTTGAGATTCAGCAAATTATTTAATAATAAATTTTATTAAGTTCTGTTCTGGAGAATCATTCTGTTCCCAAAATAATTTCTGTGGCTTTCTGTATGAATATTTATATGAAACTTAATATATTTTTATTGCAGATGAGGCACTTAAGAAGACAACCAAAACTCCAGGATGAGCATTATTCATCAGTAAGTCTTGATGACAATCTGAAATCAATGCCTTCAGCGTGTAGCTATGACCATTCCAGTCCATTCCCTTTGTAGCGTTGGTTTCCCAATGGGATTTCCAAGAGCCATTAAAGGACAGAGCATCTGCCGGTTTTGGTGAGGCTGGCTGTGTGAAAGGGTGGGGGACACTCTGTGGGACCCACTGTGAGATAACTGGGATTGGCACAGGAATTCACCTATTATCAAATAGGTGGTTTTGTATTAGTGTCTTGTGCCATGCACACCTACCTTTAATATACAGTTGTCTCGACTATAATAGAATGGAATGCTGGATGGGGCTATAACAGGGGACTGATACAGTCATGTCTGTTCTTTGAGAATGAGCCCCCATTGAACTTTTACCCATTCTGCTGCCAGCTGTGAGTATTGTTCACCTGGCAGCCCAGGTCAGAGGACAACCAAGACTTCTCCAAAAAATGCGGTTTTCCAGCCACTTGGCGTTTCTTTCTAGAGTTGGTGATAGCTACTAGCCATGTCCAACACCTCTCCCAGTCCCAAGCTGAGTGGTAGCTCTCACGCCATAAACTTTGACCTCTTTGATGAACATCTGCCCGCACACTAAGCCCTGAATGAGCTATTCTAAATAAAGGAGCCAGCTGTGAAATGATGACAGGGTCAGTCAGCATCAGACTGCACTCGCTCACCTCTCATTCCACTATCCGCGAGTTGCCCATCCTTGAAATGACACGATCTGTAAACTGGAAGAGCTTGGAAGTAAAATTCTCTCCATTCAATGCTAGGTTGACTGGGGTTACCAGAATAGCAGGCAATTTCCTCAGCGCCATGAAAATGATGCTGCCCCAAGAAGACCCAATAAGCAGGGCAAGCCTTTGAGCCAAGGATTATCCTCCAGAAAGAAGCCAAATCGTAAACAGAACCAGGACTCCAAAGTGGAGTAAAGGGTGTTTGGAGTTCACAGGACGCACAAGTCGATATGTCTGCCATTATTTCAACTGCAAGCAGTGCAAACTGAAGCATTCTTTCCTATCTCATTAGCTCTGTCACTGTAACAGTAGTCTCTTCTCTCTTGCTCAAGAGGTTGAAAACATGAAAATAAAACAAGCCGATTATTGCATACATTGTCCTGTTGCCTGTTCGTTACACTTCAGCAATCTGCAATTGCTCTAACAATGACTGAGACTGAGATTGAGACTTAGACTTTTCACAATAAACCAATCCCAGGTTAAACAATGCAGCTAAGGTGCCTAGCACAGAGCTGGCAGTGACCTGAATAGAGGTTTGACACATTGTGTTTATGGCTTGAAATCTGGAAAACCTGTGTAAACAGTCCAAGAACACATGGTCCGTGTGATCTCATTCTGTGAGAGATACTCTCAGTCCCAACATTCACCCGAACAATGACATTCGCTGTCGTTCGAAAACAATTCATTCCATCAAGACATTTTGAGATGATTGCTGTCGTAATGTTGGGAGAATAGCAATGGATTTTATTGTTACCCATTGGCTCTTCCCATCTGTGAAAGCAACGTCCCCATCCGCCAGCATTCTCCTCGCTTGTCTGAACTTGTTCTCTCTCTGAACAATTTCTCCTTTAATTCATCTCACTTGTGACATTCTCATATTCTGATCTCTCAATCTGAACTATCAACATCCTTTCTCCCTGTTCACCCCCCACCAACACTCCAAAACCTCACCCCTCCCACTATAGCATAAATGCTGCCCCCTTCAGCTCTGATGAAGAGTCATCTAGACTCGAAACGTTAGCTTGTTTTCTCTCCATGGATGCTGCCTGACCCTTGCATCTTTTGTTTTCAGTCTGGGAAAATAATGCTCATCCTCACTGTATTTTTTTTTCTCTCTCTCTGCGACGTTATTCATCTTGTTAACAAAATCCTGAATTCTTTTCAGCAATGTGGCTCTCTAACGTTGCTCTCCACCACACACACTAAGTCATGACGGTGGCAACATTCAGCACCAAGATTTTACAATCCCAAAGGATCAAGAAGGCAACTCACAATGGCCCCCATGCGACCAAGCAAGGAACAGCCTAATACCCACATGTGTCAATCTGAGAGAGAGTGCTGTCTGCCTCTCTGATGACATTGTAAAGGGTTGCTCAGCTTGCTATGCTTGCAACATCAGAATCTCAAGTCTCAATTCAAGTGGATCTAGTAACTGAGAGAGATGGTGGTGTAATATTATTATCTCTGGACTGATAATCCAAAAGTCGAGACTGATATTTTCATCATATGGGTTCAAATAGCAGCTGGTGGAATTGAAATTCCATGAACAAACCTGGGATATAAAACTAATCTCAGTAACAGTGATCATGAAATCACTGTCAATTATTATAAACGTTATCTGGTTCATCTGAAGAAATCATACCAGACTTAAAGCATTAACTCTGTTTCTCTCTCCACAGATGCTGCCAATCCTGCTGAGTTTCTCCAGCATTTCCCTCTGTTTGGTTCACTTTGACACTCTGGGGATTAGAAGAATGAGGGGAGATCTGATTGAGGTATAAAAAGTGCTAAAGGGACTGAACGTAGAAAGGATGTTTCCTCGTGGGGCAATCTAGGGTGAGAAGTCATAGTTTTAGGATGAAGGTCGCAAATTTAAAACAGAGATGAGGAGAAATTACTTCTCTCAAAAGGTCATGAATCTGTAGAATTCACTACCCCAAAGTGTGGTGGATTCTGGGACATTGAGTAAGTTTAAAGTCAAGAAAGACAGACTTTCAACAATGAAACAAAGATAGATGGAGTGACAGAGATAGTAGGAATGCAGATGCTGGAGAATCTGAGATAACAAGATGTAGAGCTGGATGAACACAGCAGGCCAAGCAGCAT